CCAGCCACAGCCCAACATTAATTAGCACCTAACCTAAATGAGATATTCTGATTCCATTTAAATTCTAGGTCCCTTGAAACTTAAATGCAATTTTCTTTTTAATCCCTCAAAGGATACCAATGGAAAAAATAGAGGAGGAAACATGGCTCCTTCCTTTCTGTACAGTGGGGTGACTAGGCCCTTGGTAACATTGTGAGAGAAGGTCACAATATCAGGTCTCAGAATCGTAGCATCACAGATGGGGACGTGGAAGGGACCTTAGAGGTCACTTAGTCCAATCCCCTTATTTCATGGATGAGGAAACTAAAAGGGGGGTTAGAGATTGGAGAAGGGTATTGAAGAAGTTTCCCAAAACTCAGACATGATGAGTTAGGTGGGATTTGAACACAGGCCTTCTGACCCAAAGGGCAGGGCTCTTCGCACTAACACTGCCTCAGATCTTTTTGCTTAAAGATTTTTCTATGTTACACAGGAGGGTTCAAGGGCAAGCTCTCCAAAACCGTGATATATAAACAAGAGGTATCTTTGATATTTGTTAGATTCGGAGTAAGAATAACGTGGGGTTTTTTGGTGAGATAATTGGGGTTAAGTGACTTGCCCAGGGTCACACAGCTGGTAAGTATCAAGTGTCTGGTCTGAGACCAAATTTGAACTCAGGTCCTCCTGACTCCAGGGCCAGTGCTCTATCACTGCGCCACCTAGCTGTTCCAAGAATAGCATTTTTTAAAAGGCACCATTTTTAAAAAACTTTAAAGTTCTTGGTGTTCCACCAATGCAGAATTGTTTTTTCATTTGGGGTTTTTTTTTTTTACTCTACATATTGGTTAAAAGGGTTTTGTTTTTCTTCTTTTTTTTTCCAGTGGTGAGGAAGGAGTAGGAGAGAGAGAAAATAATATTTTATCAGTTGAAATAAATGTTTTTAAAGAAAATGCCCCCCAAAGTTGCTTCCTAACTCCTAGGGGTCTCATGGTAATATGCCCATTCCCACATGGTTCCCCATTCAGAAGCCCCATAATAATAACAATAGATAGCATGGTAATATAGAGCTTTAAAGTTTACAAAGAGCTTTATAAATACAATTTCATTTGACCCTCACAAACAACCCTGGGAGGTAGTTACTGTTATTATCTCCATTCCACAGATGAGAAAACTGAGGCACACAGAAATGACATGACTGACTCCAGGTCCATAAGCCTCCCTCACCATGATGAAACCAGAAACAAGGATAGTAGGGCTTCTCCATGGAGAAGGGAATGGATGATTCTACTTCCTGGGACGTGGTCCAGAGCCTCAGAGCCCTAGGCTAAATGAAAGGCATCTACCACACTCGTGTTTTAGGATAAATCAAAATGATACCTGGTAAGTACATAAGAGAAGTACAAACTAAGAGCTGTTGGGGCCTAGAGGAAAGTCATTGTGCTCTCCCTCTGAAAACTGTTTTGCATTACTTTGCATATGCTTTGCATTTATTTATTTGCATGCATATTTCCCCAGTCCAAAGTAAGTTCCTACAGGCACGTACAATTCATCTTTAGCACAGTGCTTTTGAAAACATTAGGAGCTTAATAAATGGTTCAGTAAAAATTGGTTGAATGAAATTTAATTACTGGAGGTGGGGAGGGGGCCAATGAGCCTGGGAAGAAGGAATCAGGGAGGGCTTAGTGAAGTGATTGGCATTTGAGGAAATGTGGATTAGGAGTCAAAGGATGCCAGGTTCAAGACCAGGGCCATTAACTGTGTCTGTGTGACCTTGGGCCACCGCTTAAACTTTCTACGCCTCAGTTTCTTCTCACCAAATGTAGTTTTTCTGAGGAGCAAATGAAATGTTTATTTAAACACTTCTTAAACCTTGAAATGCTGCATAAATGTGTTTGGTTGTAGCTCTATGGATAAATGCAAGTTTCAACAGGTATAAATTTAGGAATGGGGATGGGGAGAAGGTATTCCATAAAGAGCAGATGGTTCCATGGGGACAAGGGACATGCATGGGGGGAGAGAGAGTGGAAAATACTTAATTTTAGCCAGAGTACATGGAAAGGGCAGACATAAAGGCCTGGAAGCAGACAGTCTCTTGGCAGAGATACTGAAGTGGCTTGCCATTTCCTTCTCCAGCTCATTTTACAGGTGAGGAAACTGAGGCAAATAGGGTTAAATGACTTGCCCAGGATCACAAACACAATCTCCCCAGGATCCCTACAAGCAACCCCTATGACACCAAAATGAATATAAACCCCATACGTCCATGAATATGTACTAGAACTCACAAGCATTTATTCAGAGCTCAGCAAAGAGCGCCCAAGGGGTCTTGCAGGCTTTCTTGACCTGTTTACTCCTCGGTCTAACTGAGGTATTTCCCTTCAACATGTGACTCTGGGAATCTGCAGAATGATGGAGATCATGGTGAAATTACTTTCCCCTGAGAAACCCAGCCATCACAGTGTTTGGCATCCAATCCTTTCCAGTTTCTGTGGTCTAATATTTCTCTTCCCAATGCCATCTGTGTGTCACATGATCAGAGGATCAAATGGGATATCTGTAAAGCTTTTAGCAAGGTGCCTGCCATCCTATTCTTATCTAGTCTTGTGTCCTGGTTCAGGAGACGAATGTCTTGTCAATGGTGTTGGATTCCTACCAGTTGGTGTCTGTGTGGAGCTCGATAGGATCTGAGCCTGGTTCTAGACGGGTCAGAACATCAAAGGCTAGGCTGGATGAATATAATTATTAGATTAGCCTTGCTCAACAAACGTAACAGATGCATTGCTGTGACCCACCTACCTTCCCCCACAAGAGAAAACAACTCTAAGTAGAGGCAAAATCCTCTATGCATTGTTTACACAGTTCACCTGGCAATCTGGGAATGTCAGTTACTTGCTCGGGTCCTGTTTATACAAGGAGCTTGTAAGCTCTTTGAAAGCATCTTAGTACCTCCCAGCACCAGCACCACTCCACTTACAGGTGCTCGGTAAATCCTAGCTGACCAAGTGGTGATGATGAAGAAGGGAGCCATGGATTCCCAAGAGCTCCCAGGCACTTCCCCTTTCATCAGTCCTGATATCCAGTCTGCAGCCAGGCCCCAAAGCCAGAAAGACCTTGAGTAGTATCGACCAATGAGCTTGAATGACCTGGTCAATGTCAGGGCTGAAATGGCTTTCCCTTCTCCTCCAAAATCTACCCAATCCAAGCCAACTGACCAATGTTGTCCTGAAATTGACAGCCCAATCTTATAATGAGAGGAGTGTGCCTCATTCTCCTTCTGTCAGAAATTGGGACTCTTTGCCTTTTCCCAGGGTTTCAGAGGGGCCCAGAAACAGGTTCTTTACTCTAGGGTCTTCCCATTTCCTTCTTCATGCCCCGAAGCACAGGGCAAAAGTGGGATTGGGAGTTTCAATTCTTTATGAAGTATGTGTCCTTAAGAAGTCTGACTTTCGTCCTCTCTTTGGAGGAAATCTGGTATAAAAGGCTGTTGCATACATGAGTTCTGTCATTACAGGTCTAGCCACAGTTATTCATAGATTAAACACGGAAAAGTAGAAAGAACACTGGATTGGATGTCATAGTAGCTGGATGTCTTTATGACCTTAGATAAGTCACTTGCCCTACAAGCCTCACTCATTTCCCTTATCTATAAAATGAGGGATTTGTACGAGACAAATTCTAAGCTCTCTCACAGCTCTAAATCCCACACTTGGGAAGTATATCAGAAAGTGTGTAAGAGCACCTAGTCCAGTCTCTATCTGAAGCATGAATCCCCTCTTCCAACACATTTAGGCAATAACCTGAATGTCATCCAGTTGGGATAAGGAGAGAGAACTTCTTTTCAAGAGACAAACATAAAGTTGGTTACAAATCTGTCAGGCCACCCAGTAACAGGAGGTTCACTTGGAATAATAGAAATATTGAGTAGAGTCAGAAGACCTGGGTTCAAATCCTACCTCAGACACAACTGCATTTGTGACCTTGGGGGAATCATTTAACATCCTTGGGACTTAGTTTCCCCAAATGTAAATTTAAAGATTTGGACCCGATGGCCCGTGGGGTCCCTTCCTCTAGATCTATGAGCCTTTGAGAGTCTGGTGAGCTCCAGGTCTGCTCCTCACGGCCATCTCATTCCCTAAGGATTTCTACCTTCTAACCATGTCTGAATCAACTATCATGTTACTTCTGTTAATTGTAACCCTTAGCTGGAAGGGAGTCAGCTGTCTACATGACGGGGCACCAGAGAGGGCTGGAGGGCTCTCTGCCCTGAGCTCTCTCCCACCAACCACCAGAGTAGCTTGATCTGTGTCTTGATCACTTTCCCATCTTACCAATTCATATCTTAGAGGTATATACCAGACCACAAGGCTTTACCGACTAAAATACCTTAGTGTGGTAGAATTTGACAGCTTCTACAACCCAATCCCTTTGGGACCTGGAGCATGGACCTGGGATGGTAATGGACAGGAGGCAGGTAAACTGGGACTGGGAAAAGGAGGGCTAGAAGGGGAGAGAGTGGCTTGTAACATAGTAGCTGCCCGATGGATAGTAGTTAGCACTATGTACTGTGTTTGTATCTGCTTCATAAATTCCAGTGGTTCCCTATTATGTCTAGGATCAAATATGAACTCCTGTGTTGGGCATCCCAAGCCCTTCACAACCTGTCTCCTGGCTACCTTTCCAGCCTTCTGTTCATGCTCTCCAAGTCTTTCTCAAGCTTGTATCCCCAGTCTAACTGGCCTTCTTCCTGTTCCTCACATCCACGATTCCATCCCTTGTCCCATGCCTTTGCACGGGATGCCCTCCCCCCTCCCCTTGCCTGGGATGTACGCCCTCCTCACCTCCACCTCAGAGAATCCTCCTCCAAAGCAAGTCTCCTCCTACATGAGACCTTTTCAGGTTCCCTCTCTTCCACACCAACTTACTTTACATTTATTGTGTGTAGACTTAGGAGCATATGTAGAAAGCAGCACTGGACCTGTGGTAAAGAAGACCTGAGTCCAAATCCCACCTTACATACTTACCAGCTTCATGACTGCGGGCAAATCATAACCTCTCTGTGCCTCAGTTTCCTTGTGTGGAAAAGGAGCGGGTTGGACTTGTTACTCTCTGAGGTCCCTTCTAGCTCGAAATTTATAAGGAATCTGTGTTGCCTCCACGCAAAGAAGGCAGATACTGATTCTGTTTTTGTACTTGTATACCTAACATAGTACTCAGCATAGAGCAGGTGCTTAATAATTGCTTATTTACTGACTGATTTGGGGGGTAAGATTTACACGAGAGGAAAGAATGTGCACATGGAAGAGAGTAGCAATCCATAGAAACAAGATAAATCAAAATATGAGATTCTTCATTGAGCCCGTGTGAGTGGGAGAGAGACAGACAGACAGACACACAGAGAGGCAGACACACAGAGAGGCAGACAGACACACAGAGAGGCAGACAAGCAGAGAAAGTGAGAGGCAGAGAAAGATCAGAGGAGAGGAGAGGGGAGGGCAGAGAAGAAAGGAACAGGGAGGGGAGGGAGAGGCAATAATAACAGCCTCCCTAGGCAGACACTCAGATCGCTACAGAAGCACCCAAGTCCCCACCAAGCCCCCAGGGGAAGGCACTGGATGAGGTCCAACCAGGTGCCTCCTGACAGAAGGGGAGACTCATGAAAGATTCAAGGTGTGTGCTCCCTCTTCTGTGGAACAGGAGAGGCTTCAGAACCGCCCCTCACAGCTGCTGGGCACTTGGAGCCTGGAGCCAATTGGCAAGAGGCCTCTGGAGCCCCAAAGAGCTAGACCTCTTAGCCTCTACACTACCTGAACCAAGTGTAACCCAAAGTGCCTGGGAGGCTTGTCTGTTGGGTTACTTAGTGATCAAGGAATCCTGCTCTTTCCTAAATTCCACTTGCCACTCCCTCAAACATCAGCACCTCCCTGAAATACAAGTAGTATTTCCCTAAGCCTTGGGTAGGGGCAGCTGGGTGGCAGTGGATGGAGCACTAGGCTTGGAACCACGAAGAAGCATCTTCATGAATCCCAATCCGGCCCTTACTAGCTATGTGACTGTGGGCAAATCACTTAACCCTGTTTGCCTCAGTTTCCTCCTCTGTAAAAATGAGCTGGAGAAGGAAATGGCAAATCTCTCCATCTCGCCAAGAAAAAGGGGTCAGACACAACTGACCAAAGAGAAAACCTTCACTCAGTCAACATTCCTTCCAATCTCTTCTACTTGCTGCTTCCCCATACCCAACGAGCTCTCCCGGCTCTCTGTGTCTGCAGTGCCTGCCCTTCTCACCCACACCTACTGGAACCCCTGCCCCTTCACGTCTCAGCCCGATTGCCAGTTGTTAGTGTTATCTGCATATATTTTACATTGCACTGGTGTATGCTGCTCCCTCTCCCCTCCCCCAGGAGTATGGGAGGCACTGGAGGGCAAGGGCTGTTTCATTTTCATCTTTGTATTGAAAACACCTAGCATAGGGCTTGGCACATATGAGATGCTTAATAAATTTGTAATGAATTAAATTGAATTTCCAAGATCCCTTCCAATTCCAAATTTGTGATGTGGTGGAAAAAGTCCCAACCCAAAGAAAATTTTAAAAAAGAAAAATCCCTGACCTGGAAATAAGGATGCTTGGATCAGAGACTTCCCATGGGTTTGCACTTAGCTCACTCGTGCTTCCTTGTCAGTCAAGTCTCCTCTCTGGGTCTCAATTTCCCCTTCTGTAAAACAGGGCAAATTACACCTGTGCTGCTTCTGCCTTTCCTAAGGCTCCGCTTCAACTGTGGATGGGAGGGCACACTGAAAAAAACAAAGGGCTCAGCCAAGATCTTTATTAATGGTGTCAGTATCTGGCCAAAGCCTGGTAGATAGTGCTGACATCAAAATGCCCATTTCCCCCAAGCAGCCGGGTCAAGCCAACATCTGCTGCTTCTAAGCTGAGAAAACCATCTGCTTCTTATTACTTGATGATTCATGCTTCCAGTTAGCCGGCTGTAATTCATTTCACACAATGGGAGTCTCCAAGACCGAATGCAATCCATCAGGCAAGCTCTCCTCTATGGAGACTGCTGAGAGCCACGAAGGCAAAGGTGAAAGCCAGAGCCAGAGAGACTGGAGGAGATGGGCACCTGGCACCCCCTGTCTCAGAGGTTACTTAAGCTCAGCTCTAAAGATTCCTGGATTTGACCCCAAAGAGAGGAGGAAAGTGATCCCTTCTTTGCAGAGATGGAAGGCTCTGGCTGTGGGCTGCATGTACAGCATGTCACAAGTCTTAAGCTTAAAACTCCACAAAGACTTTAGTGATGCCCTGTACTGTCAGATCAGTTGAAATGTTGGGTTAATTGCTGCTGAACTTTCTCTCTCTCTCTCTCTCTCTCTCTCTCTCTCTCTCTCTCTCTCTCTCTCTCTCTCTCTCTCTCTCTCTCTCTCTCTCTTTTTTCTCTCTCTCTTACAAGAGATGACTCTAAGGAGTAGAAAAGGGAGGGCTACATTTGGAAATGAATGGAATGTAAAAGTAAAAATGTAAATAAAAATTTTAAAAGTAAATTTTTGGGGACTGGCTAAGCTCTGTTTCTGATGCAAGTATGTGTGTTTATCCTCATTTCAAAGCTAAACAATGCTTAGCAAAGTGCCTGGCACACAGTAGGTGCCTAATAAATGCTTATTGACTTCAGTGGGGATAGGGGATGTGGGGTTCCCTATGGGAAATTTGTTGAAAAGAAATATTTATCATTCACCTGTAACTTGTTGTGTGCGCAAATACCTTCTCATTTCTGGGCCTGGAATATAGTCCTTAAGGAGGCGTTAACTGAGCAGCTGGGTCTTCTGGCTTCTTCTTCCCTGTTCCCCTTCTCTCTTTTATTGTTTTTATACCTCAACAGGTCTTCTTGCTGGCTAGGCTCAGATTTCAAATGAAAATTCACTTCCATAGGGAGCTCTATAAATTACAATATTTCCTTTTCGTAAAAAATTGATTAAAACCCTTCCTACAATATTAAAAACAATAAAGCTGTGATGTTTCTGATTCTGGTAGAGGGTTTTAATCTGTATGTATGTGTGTTTGTGTGTGTATGTGTGTAACAGAGAAAGAAGTAAGGAGACAGAGGGCCCGACAGAGAAACAGAGAAATAAACAGAGCACAGAGAAATAAAATGGCATGGTTCCCATTCCAGCCACCTGAATCTTATAGAAGGAAAATGTTGGGAGAAAAAAAGGAAAGGGAAAAATAAAAAGATGTCACTAGTGGTGCCTGGTGAGTGATTTGTCCCCACCATTCCCTGGGGCAGCTGGCCAGGCTGGCAGTCAGTTTGGAGGATCCAGAGCTAGGACTGTTGGATGGATGTCTTTGGGAGACTGGCCATACTCGAATCAATTGACCTGTTCTTGGACAAACTGTGGCACTAACTTTATGTGTGACCTTAGCTCCCTTCCTCCTCTCTGAGCCTTGGTTTCTCTCTTTATAAAATATTGCATTTATAAAATATAAATAAATAATACAAAAAAACTTTATAAAATAGCGTATTGGGCGTGGTGATCTGTAAAATCATTTCTAGCTCAGTTTCTCACTATCACCCTCTAGGTCCTGGCAGTGGTGATTATTTTCTGTTCAGGACTCCCTAGCAGAAATCTACATCCATACTGACAGGCTGAGTGAACTTTACATGCTAGAACCAACTCCTTTCCTACTAAGCCCAAAATTCCTAGGAGGATTCTGATAGGCCCATTCTTCCTATCACCAGTGGAAAAGGGTGTAAGAAAAACTTTTTTCCCCAAGGATATTTGTACTCTAAATTTCTTGCTGCATACAGGAGAGCACTTCCTAGACAGATGTATACAGACATACTCCCTGTAGGCTACCTGAGTTTATAAGGTTTAGTGCACAGAGTGATGGGTGTTGAGGGTGTAACCTGGAGACCTAGCAGGCTGAAATTGTCAAAGACCAAGACAACCAGAAAAGGCAAGGTGGGACCCAGCTGTGCAGGCTGAAAGAGACAGAATATTAGGAAAAAGAGAGAGCTAGGTGAGTCAGGTAAAGGGGAGAAATCAGAGAGGTCAGAGACTTGGGAGAGCTGGAGGTGGGATGACAATTTAACCCGAGCAACAGGATGAAATGCACATTTCTCATCTGGAATTTAAAGACTTTCATGAACTGACAGAAACCTACATTTCCAGTTGTATGGATCAATATCCCGTCCCTATGACTCCCTGATTCCACAGATGGTCCCTTCCCTGGCCACCACCTCTCATATCTATTGTTTTCCCCTATTGGAATAAAGTCCTTGAGGGCATGTACCATTTCACTTTTATTTTTGAGCCCCAAGTGGAATGACTGTGGGAAGACACCAGGGAGTTGGGTATATTAGGGCCTAGATCCCTACCATCATCCCAGTAAATCTCTAAAAATGTCTCATAAGAATTAATAATAAAGAAAATTTAAAAAGAATGGGCTATAAACTCCTTCATCCAGTCTAGGACTATATAAAAAAAGACTGCTAGAATACCATCCAGACAGGGGGAGGAGAAAATCTAGGGTGGGTGAAAACGTGAAATACATCCCAGTGTCACGGAAGGAAATGGGACCACACCAGCGCCCAGAGCAGCAAAAAGCAACCCAGGGGTCTCATGCCAGTCCAGGGAAGAAAATGTCACTAGACTTGTGTTTGGTACAAGAAAGAACGACCCAGGCAGCCCAGGCCTGAAGCACAGCAGAAAAGGCTAGAAAATCCCTGTAGAAGGCAGGGCCTATTCTTGTTCACTAAACTCAGGATCAAGTAGAGTTTACTCACACCACCCAGGATGACAGGAGCAGAGTTTGTCCCAAGCACAAGCCCCCAATCCAGAAACTGAGGTTAGAAATATGAGTAAAGAGGGGGGGAAGTCTGGAACTGAGAGTCCAAATCCAAGTCAAACCTTGGAGAAAATAATATCCTGGCCATAAGGAATAAAAGAACAGCTGGGAGAAATGGAACAAGAGGTATAAAATGGAATGGCTAGTGAATAAACAAAACGGTAAGGAGAATAAATACTTTAGAACAGGCAGAAGTAAACCTTATCCAAGAAGCGA